AGTCATCTCTGGCTTGACCGCCGCGCTGTTCCCGAAGAGGTTCCCGCGTCAAAAGCTTCAAGGCCAATGAAGCCTCGAAGCACCGGGCGCAATCTGATGGCACGTTCCATTTCGCCCTGCTCGTTCTTCACAAGCTTCTATGTGCACACGTACCTCGAAGTCATGATGTTTGACGCTCTAGATATGTCTTGTACGTTGAAACACTTGTGGTCACACCATGTCTCGAGTTCGGTGTAGAGGGCTTTCGATACTTTCTCGGGATTCGCCTGGATGTCAACCCCGCGAGGAAGTCGTCTTCCTTGACGACCGCGGCTCGCTTAGCAGCGGCGGCAGCATATGCTCGCATGGTGGTCACACGGACGGCATCGAAGATCCTGCTGTTGTTCGGACCGGACTACCTTTGACATTTCTGCAGTAAAGCAGAGTTCTATAGATTGGCCTGTTTCGTCTGGGCCCAGTCCGCAACAGCAATCTTCGACCATGGAACACAGTGGGACATGATACGTCTCCTCGGTGTCGGAGTCGCGCGGGTGCCCCCACTTACGCAAGTGTCCCCGCTGCTCTTCAGCTACAGTGGTCAGCGCACTCTTGTCTGGAATCATGCGTGTGGGCATCGTGGAAAAATCCCCTGGTGGAGTTGCTTCCACTAGTTCCTTTTCATATTGCAGTTATGTATACCACACTTCCACAACGCGCGCCTCGAGTTCTGCCTCCGATTCTTCATAAATCGTGGGCAGCCGTCCATCCTCCTGTGGTAGTTCGGCTTCTGAGGCTCCTCTTGCAGTTCCATCCGATGTCGGTGCATCCGCCACTTCCTCAAACTTTGTCACATCCTGGTCAAAGCCTGCTTGAGGTTTGGTGGGCTTCAGGCACTGGATGATTCTAGAGTGTGCTGATCCAGTTATATCGTGAATGTTAAGAGCGGCGCCTTCTGCTTTAAGGGTAAGACCCCAGATCAACATCGTTGTCATAGCGAACCAAGGTGCAACTGTCAGCGTAAGCAACCGGAGGTAACCCATGGAAACTCCTGGCTAACCTGACCGAAACTACGCTCTCAACAGGGAAGAAGTTTCTGATGAGGTATTGCAAAGCGAAATGTACCTTAGGAGATAGTCGGCTTGCACTTGTCATCTGAAGCATCCCCTTTTCGGTCGGGAAATAGCCAAATTCCATGGCAGTTCCCCCCGCAGATAAACTGGCCACGAACGTCAACGCTGTCCGTAGCGCAGTGTTGTCGGAGCCGATTTCTCTGGCTATCAAAGATTCAATATAGAGTGAACGTCGTGCATCGCCGCATTGTAGCTGAACGTCGCGGCTTCCACCTCGAATGATAACTTGACCCCTCTCGGGATCGATTCTTACGACTGGGAATGGGCCACTCCAGCCTCCCCAGTCGTCCTTCGTGCTTGTGGGGCGATGGTAATCGATTGAGTCTCCTTCATCGTAGCAATGCTGACCGGTAACAGTTGTCTTAGCGCGTAAGTGCGTAATGCGCGAATAGTCTTGGCTACTGCGGTGGCCTGCGCGATTGCTTCAATGCATACCTTGCGCATCATCTGCCCCAGAGAATGATCAGACGTTTCCGTCGGAAGTTCGTGATCCAGGATAGGTAAGTCAGGGGGCATAGCCGGTTGCCGTCCAAACAGAGCGCTGCATGGAGACACCCCCCATGTAGAATGTGAACGCGCTGGCGGCAGAAAAAAAGCCCCATGCAGTAGTCGTGAACATAAGATGCAGGTCTAACCTGTTGAGTTCAGCACCATGATATGAAGTAGATGGCGCAATATGCCATGTCTGACTTCGATCGTCGCAGCGCGCTGTCCAGCCCATACTGAACGCGCTCAGACAGGTCGCAAACATCTCGCGGGTTTCCCCGCGAAGGATCGTTATCGCTCAATTCCATGTTTGTCGGATTGCCAATAACCCGAGGATAAAGCATCAACTGAATTGCCTCCTCTGCTGCAGGAATAGTGGCTTCTGAATCCGCGGGTGCCCCCACCATTTCGCCACCTCCTTGGGCGGGCACGCGGACGTTCTCGACGAATTCAATATCGGCAGGTTGCCCCGCGATGGGCAAGCCCAGCCAGTCCGGCAGACCAATATCATTGCTGCCAGTGAATACCTCCCCGAGCAGCCCGTCGGCATAATTCTCGAAGGACATACTGGCACTGACGTATCTGGCGGCTATGAAAGTAACAAGTGTAACGGAGCTATCGGCAGGGTCGGCTAAAAGTGACTCCGAAACAACATACTGCACATCCGAATCAGTTTGAGCCAGATGCATCGACGGACCTCCGCCTCCCCCAACGCCCTGAGGGCATTCGCGGCGAAAGTGCTGTGTGCCATGGCATATGTCACACTCCATAGTTTTGCCGTTGGCATCCTTCGGGTTTCCTGATGTATGCCTACGATTCCTGCCCCTGCCATGCAATCGCCGACGCCTACCTTTACCATTACCTCGACCCTTGCCTTTTCCCTTGAATGCACGTCGGACGATGCGCCGTACCTTGCGAACTGGCTTTTTCATAAAGCGCCCCCACCTGCGTTTATGCTTCTGGCCCCCTGAGAATAACCATTGCGCCCGTTGCTCTTCCGCGAGGTACGTGGGCAGATCGGAGTAGTCAAAAGCTGCGGCCCCGTCGTCCGAAGACGCGACGGCGCCGGTGCCGGAGCCGAAGTCGGACTCGGCAGGTTGCCCCGCTGAGCCCATTAGGGCCGTGGCTTGCGCGGGGGATGCCGCGTCGGGCGGCCCCCGAAACCTGGCCCGGGGGTCCTGCGACCCCGAGGCCGACCCACCATTCTGAGCCAGTAGTGTAATGGTCTCAGCTGGTTGTGGATCGTCACTCCAGCGCGGAAGGCATCGGATCGGTGACCGCGACAGAAAATACCACCAATATTGCCGGGGGTTGTCTCAGCTATGTGTGCATATGACCTCATGAGTCCAAGTAGGGAGTCAACATGCGGCTGCAGAAGTTGCTGCGCACGCGACGTCCCCACCCCAAGGGCTCCGAATAAAATAACTGTGAAAATTTGGAAGTTGGGGATGTTAAAGCCTGCCGTTTCAGCTTCATAGCGGGCTATCTCGAAGCGCGCCAACGTCTGGTCGATCCGTTCTCCCGCGTGGACTCGGAAGTCGATGAGAGCTGTACCAGAGTTGAGTTGGCGCTCCTCTTCTAGATTCTTGAACTTCGTGCTTAAGAGAAACATGATTCAGGTGACGCCGTCGGTGTGGCGGCCACCTATGTCTACACCAAAACTGATGACCGCTGGGCGAACTCTCATGGCTATGGTCCGCGCGAGGCCTCCCAAACCTCGCTGCAGGGCTGCAGCTTGTTGGGAGGGTGTCATGTTGCCTGTGGTCACGTTGATCCAGGCATGTACCTCGCGGACGAATTCGCGGAAAGGTACTTGACCGGCTGGGTCCCAATGGGGGCCGGTCGTGCTTGCGTCGTCTCCGCCACGCATATGTCCTACCGCACACCCGATAGCAACCCATGTGACCCCAAAGATAATAATACCAATCCAATGGCCGCGCAGGTCGTGGTCGGATGTAGTCGGTTGGGATTTTCGATGTGTGGTCGTAAGCCTGCGTAGGGGGTGGAGGCGGCACAATGTCGTATCGCATGTTTCCATGCATTATGTCTTCGAAAAAAGCTCCTAATTGGAGTAGGTGGGTGGACTCCAGGAGTGTAGTAGCGCGGGGATGTAAGACGAAACTAAGAGGCCTCCGCGTAGGCAGAGGTGTCACTGCAAGTGTCCTTGCTATACTGCGTGGTTATATACATTCCTCCGCGCAAACCCACTGCACCCTGATGTTCCACCACGTTTGTAATCCACCAGATAGCGCCGTGGATGGTGAGGAGTAGAGCAAGAGCTGACCACCATAGGCCAGCTCCGCTATCAAGTTTGAAAGGGGTTGGGAGGCCCAACCAACAGCTTCGCCTGAGGAGAAGCCAAGCTCCCGCTCTGTTGTACCGCAGTAACGATAGTCCCAGTAGTAGGGGGCGAGCCATCTCAAGCAATTTTGGTATCGATGGCAAATAGTACACCTCGCGCTGAGGTGTAGTCAGCTCTGGGCAGCCGGCCGCTTTGAGCCAAGCAGCCGCGGATGCACGTTCGTTCCCACTCACATGCAACGCACAGCTCACTTTAGACTCGGCGAAGGTGCCATCATCTTGCCTGCTGCGCGCAAGGCTACCATCCTGACCGAAGAACATTACAAAATGCACCGCACCTCGCGGCTAAATCTGGATCATGCGCGGCCACCCCGCGATCACTATCAAGTGGTTTTTGACAGGGACGGCGGGGGTGGTGGCGTATGGCCTGCCGTGCGCAGGCCCACCAGACACAATGGTGGGCATTGATTTTCGACGACGATGGTGGGGGCTGACATGTTTCCCGATGTGTGCTGTGACGTGCACAGGCGCACCTGGCACACTCTGCACGTGCCCCGAATGTGGCGTACCTGGCGCGACTGGATCTGTCACGAGCGGGTCTTTGGCCCGCGCTGTCTGGTCTGGGGACACGTCTACGGCTTCGGGTGCTGTGTCTTGTCTCAGCCTGCGCTGGGGCTCTGGAGGTGTTCCCCCCTTGCCTCTGCGCGTGGTGAGCGCCTTGAGAGGCGTTGTCCGTAGGGTCGCCTGCTGCCGCGGCTCCCGGGCCTCTGTCTTGCGTGCGTCCGCTAGGGCCGCACTCGCCTTGAGCCGCGGGCGTGTCCACGCTTCCGCCTCCTCCCACTGGGCTGCCTGAGCTTCCGCCGGTGGTGCCTGAGCCTCCCAGGCTTCCGTCAACCGCGCTGTTGTCGGGGTTGGTGCCGTGGCAGGCTCAGCCAGGAAGCTTCCACATCTGCTTGTAGCTGTGCGTCCCGCTCGGCCGTATAAGGAGGTCCTGCTCCCAAGCGGAGCATGGCGGAGACCGCGCTGGCGGTCAGGATCTGAAAGGGTTGGCCTGGGACCTCGTCCCTCGTTGGCCATCCGAGGTCGCATCCTGACGCGGTCGCTGCCAGAGTGTCCGCGAGGCTCTGAATCCTGGCACACGCAGCGTCTGCGGAGAGGGCCGCCGCCCTGGACAGCACTCTCCTGCCGGCGGCGTTGCGTGTGCCGAGGAGTGGTTGAGCGTCCCAGTAGGCGTTGAAGGCATGCAAGATTCTGTTGGGGAGGCCGTGCTGTTCGAAAAGCCTTCGCATTCGTCTTTCTAGCTGCAGTATGGCGGTGCCCCAGGCGATGGTGCTGAGGGCGTCGTTCCGTAGGTCAGCGGGAAGGGCGCTCGTGCTCCCTTGTCCGGTACGTGTCGCCGCACGCAGGGAGGTGTCTAGGCTGGTGTGGATACGCGAAGCGTCAAGAATTGTAGAAAACATGTGCAATAAAAACGAACCATTTGACGAGAGCTTCGATACGGCCTGTTGCCATCCCTGGGACTGGCTCCAAATTATCCCTGCATCGCACACTCATGAAGCACGTGAGTACCATCACATTGCGATGGCATCACGCAATCACCGTCCGATTACCATTGGCATGGCATTGAAAACTGCACTCAGCAAAGACAAGGGGGTTGAGAACGGACGGCCTACTAATGGCCAGCAGAGTCCAGCACTACGGGGCTCACGGCTGCAAACGCGGGCGCACGCAAGCACGCGCACACAAGACGAAGTGGGCTTATTGCGGCGAGCTGCTCCCGAGGTGTCTTGATCTCCTCCTGGTCGCGCGACTCCCAGAGCTCGCGCTCGGCCTCCAGAGCCTCTGGCGGCGCGCTAGCTGCTGAGGGGGAGGCAGATGAACGAGGGGGTGGGGGGCCCACATACATACCAACGCAAGGCGAGGGTGCAAGACCGTTGCCGGCCGTGTTGACTCACTTGCAGAGGCGCATGCCCGTAGGGGATAGAGAGGGCCTGAGAAGAAGAAGAAGAAGAAGGAGTATCATCAGGAGCGAAACAAGGGAGAGGAGGCAGAAGCAGAGCGGGAGGAAGAGGGGAAAAGAGAAGGGGGAGAGGTAGATTGGGCGGGGGAGGACAATGGGGGGAGGGAGGGGATGAGGGGCGACCAGTAGGGGGGGGGGGGGCAGGTAATTAAGGGGGAGAGAGAGAGGGCGAGGAGGAGGAGATTGACACGCCTGTCTCGGGTGGGCCGCCAACCTCGTGGCCTGAATTGGGGAGGGGGCGATGTAGAGCCGCGGTGTCGTGCTGCCTGGTGTGGAGAACCTGCCGATCCTCCTCCGAGGGACCGCATCGCTATCCCTCCCTCCTCGCCCCATTGCTCGCGGCCCGTCGGTATTTACAAGGCTCCCGCCGGGCCTGCTCGGGCCCACGGCCCAGCTCACGCAGCTCGAAATGCCAGTCACGATCCTGCTCACCCGGCTCCTGCTCGCACCGATCCTTGGCACGGCCCGCACGACCCGCGAGCTGCTCCGGCTGCTCGTGACTAGGGGCACGAAGAATGACATAAACATAAAAACTCGGAGGTCCGCGCGGATTTCTCGGATCGGCGCTGGAACCCCCTCCCTGGCGCGCGGAGAAGGGCAAGGGCGGCGCCGGAGGCGCCGCCAGGGGGTCCAGCGCGGATCCGAGAAACCCGCGCGGACCTCCGAGTGTTTCTGTTCATGCCATTCTTCGTTCCCCTAGTGACGGCCCTGACCCAACACGCCGTGGGGTCCATCGCTTCGGCACGCATGTGCGTAGCGAGTGCGCAGCCGCCGCGGCACGCCAGGCGCCCAGCAGCAGGCCTCCTCCCCAAGTTCTCTCCAGCGCGACCCGCCGACTGGAGCAGGGGCACGTTGCCCACCCGAGTCCAAAGCAAAGAGATCGCGGGGGATCGGCAGGAGGGAGGGGAGCCAGGGGACGGCGGGGGGAGGGGAACAAGCTAGGTGCGCTCGCGTCATATCTGACGTTATACCCCTCCCTCCTATCCCTTACCATAGCGTAGATCTCTTTTCTATTCGCACAATCGGATGTCGCAGCATGGCATAGCATTACATGGCATAGCATGGTGTTGAAGATCAACGCGTAGCATGACATAGCATGGCGAGGCGATGACCCATAGAGGGTGGGGGCCTGCGGCCCAAAGAATCAACGAATCGACACCTAATGTGTAACCACTTCCGATGGTTTCTTCGGGAGGTTATTTTCTAGATTTTGGGGCCTCTTTGGAAGGACCGAAACCATGCCGTGGCATGGCACCGGAAATAATGGCGCCAGCGCTGCAGCGGGAACACGATTCTGAACGAGAGGAAGCACGGGAATGAGGCCAGCGCTGCAGCGGGAGCACGACTGAGAACGAGCGGTGGCCCGAAAATGAAACCAGCGCCGCAGCGAGAGCAGCATTTTGGAAGTTCCCTTGCGAAAGACCCAACCAGATGCAGTTGTGGGTACCGCAATCGCGGATATCTTCTTCGGTGAAGCTCCCTATGGGGCCACGAAGCGCTGCACTGGGTGGGAGGGAACGCATGCGGGCGGTAGCACTGGGGTTGTCGGTGGAGTTCCCTATGGGGCCACGAAACGCTGCACTGGGTGGGTGAAAATACCAAAGTGGGTGTATGGGACGCATGCGGGGGGTCCCACTGGGGACTTCGGTGAAGCTCCCTATGGGGTCACGAAACGCTGCACTGGGCGGGAAGGGGGGAACGCATGCGGGCGGTAGCACTTGGGGCTTCGGTGGAACTCCCGATGGGGCCACGAAGCGCTGTACTGGGTGAGTGGAAATGCCAAATTGAATGTGTGGGACGCAGGCCCGGCGGTCCCACTGGGGGCTTCGGTGGAGCCCGCTATGGGGCCACGAAGCGCTGCACTGGGTGGGCAACAAATGCCAAATTGGGTGTGTGGGACGCATGCGAGCGGTCCCACGGGGGACTTCGGTGGAGCTCCCTATGGGGCCACGAAGCGGTGTATGAAAAGGCCAAATTGTGCGCGAGGGGCCCATAAGGATGGTGGCACTGGGGGCTTCGGTGGAGCTCCCATATGGAGCCACGAAACGCTGTACTGGGTGGGTGAAAAGGCCAAATCGGGTTTTGGGGACGCATGCGGACGGTGGCACTGGAGGCTTCGGTGGAGCTCCTATGGGGCCACGAAACGCTGTACCTGGTGAGTGAAAATACCAAATTGGGTGTTTCGGGACGCATGCGGGCGGTCCCACTGGGGGCTTCGGTGGAGCTCCCGATGGGCCCACGAAACGCTTTACTGGGTGGATGAAATGCTACATTTGGTGTTTCGGGACGCATGCGGACGGTGGCACTGGGGGCTTCGGTGGAGCTCCCTGTAGGGCCACGAAACGCTGTACTGGGCGGGGGAAGATGCCAAATTAGGTGTTCCGGGACGCATGCGGGAGGTCCCATTGGGGGCTTCGGTGGAGCTCCTTATGGGGCTACGAAACGCTGTACTGAGTGGGTGAAACACAGGGCCAACAACACAGGATGGTTCGGAAAAAAAAAACCAGCGAAAGCCCGTTTCCTGGGAACCCTCTGTAAAAAACACCGTACACGGAGGGGGGTCGGCAATTTCCCGGACGTCACCAGGGGAGAGAGGAGGGTATGCATAATAGTGTGCAATTGTGGGGGAGGAGGAGTAGGAGGAGAGGAGGGGGAGGGCGAGGAGGAGAAGGATGAGGAGGAAGAGGAGGAGGAGCAGAAGGACGGCGACGATGAAATGCCCGAGGGCTGGCCTTCTGCAGCCGCGCGCAGCGCCCCTCCAACTCCAGCTTCTCGCCCTGCAGCCGCACCAGCCGAACGGCTTTCTCGGCCTCCTGGGGCGCCAGGGAGGGGGCGGTCCTTCCCCTCCTCCTCCTCCTCCTCCTCCTCCTCCTCCTCCTCCTCCTCCTCCTCCTCCTCCTCCTCTCATCATCATCATCATCATCATCATCTCATCATCAGCATCATCATCATCATCATCATCATCATCATCATCATCATCATCATCATCATCATCATCATCATCATCATCATCATCATCATCATCATCATCATCATCATCATCATCATCATCATCATCATCATCATCATCATCAGCATCAGCATCAGCATCAGCATCAGCATCAGCATCAGCAGCAGCATCATCATCGCCATCAACATCAACATCAACATCAACATCATCAGCAGCATCAGCCTCAGCATCATCATCATCAGCATCATCATTATCATCCTCATCATCATCATCGTCATCGTCATCGTCATCGTCAGCATCAGCATCAGCATCAGCAGCAGCATCAACACCATCATCATCATCATCATCATCAACACCATCATCAGCAGCAACATGATCAGCATCGTCAGCATCATCGGCATCATCAGCATCAGCAGTATCATCATCAACAGCATCATCATTAGCATCATCGTCAGCAGCGTCAGCATCACCATAATCATCAGCGTCATCATCAACACCATGATCAGCGTCATCATCATCATCAGCAGCATCAGCTTCATCCTCATCCTTATCCTCATCCCCATCCTCATCATCATCCTGATCCTCATCATCAGCATCAGCATCATCATGATCCTCAGCAGCAGCATCATCGTCATAATCAGCATAATCATCATCGCCATCGTCATCGTCATCAGCAGTATCATCAGCATCATCATCACCATCATCATCATCATCAGCATCATCAGCATCATCATCGGCAGCATCATCAGCATCACCATCACCATCATCATCAGCATCATCATCATCCTCATCACCACCATCATCATCAGCATCATCAACCTGTTTCTCTATCCACTCCTTCACCCTCCTCCACCGAATAATTCCTCATCATTATCATCCGCTTTCTCCTCCTCTTCCTTCCTGGTCCGCCCTCCTCCTCCTCCTCCTCCTTCTCCTCCTCCTCCTCGAACTTCTTCCTTGTCCTCACCATCATCACCATCTTCCTCGTCCTACTGACTGGGGGAGGAGCGGGGAGGGCGGGAGGGGCGGGGAACGAGGAAGAGAGGGAAGGCGGAGGAGAAGGGAGGGAAGAATGGAGTGGGGAGCGATAGGGATGGCGGAGAAAGCAGGTAATAGGAAGAGATGGGAGGAGAAAGGTGAGGATAGTTGGTCTTTGTCACGTGTGCGCGCATATGCCTCGGAGTTCCAGAACTCACGCCCAAGTGGCTCCAGGCGAATCACCACTTATCACGCATGTGTAATGTCACTGTGGCTGCACTCCGACGTATGGTGCTAGTGTCGGCGGCACAGTGGCAATGGCAGTTGTAGTGGTAGTGATTTGTGCGTAGTGGTTAGTTTTCGGTCAGTAGTGAAAGGTGAGCGGTGACCGGGGAGCAGTAAGTGATGCATGACAAGTGGCAAGCGGTACGCGGGGACCTGGGTGCGGGAAATGGTAGACGGCGAGCGGTACGTGGTACGAGTGGGGAGTTGGGGATGATGAGCGGCTGGGGCAAGGGGATCACGAGCGCGCAGGACTGGCCCTGTTCTCTGCTCTCCATCCGCAGGGTCCGCTGGCGCGTCCTCCCAAGGGACCAACGAATAGCCCTCGCATCGCGCACCTCGCACCTCCTACGGGGCCAAACGAGGCCTGAGAGGCTAACCCCGCGCGAGAGCAAGACAAGAGAAGAAGTGGAGGAGGAAGGGGGGGAGCAGGGTACCCAGGGTGCCCCCCCCCCGGATCTGCTGCGGAGGCCTGCTGCTCGAGCTTGGCCAGCAGCTCGGCCTCACGTGCCTCCATCCTGCTGAGCTTGGCCTCGGCGAGGGAGGCAAGCACCCTCGCGCAGGCCTCCTCCGCCTCCCCTTCTGAATCCCGCAGGCCTTGAGCAGACTGGGCTCTTCACAGACGCGCTGGGGGGGGAGAGGAAGGGAGGGGGAAAAAGAGGGGAGAGAGGGGAGAGGGGGGGGGGGCTGTCGAGGGGTGCAAGTTCCCGAAGCTGCGACAGGCACGCGACCCTCTTTGAGCGCTCCTTCGACCGAGACAGCCATGGCCACAGTAGTTTGCCGAGCTTCTCCCTTTCTCTCTCTCGCTTCGAAGGGGGGGAGGGGGGGCGGGGACGGGGAGGGGGGCAGCTCCGCGTCCCGCGCGGCCACCCAACACACCTCCATTTGGGCAGTCGCGCCCTCGCGCCTCCAGGCGTTTCCATCGAGCACCAGAGCGTCGCAGGCCGGTCGGCTAGCGTTGGCAGCGCCTGTTCGGGGAGGAGGAAGGAGGCGAAAAGAAGAGGGCGCGACCACACGGCAGCCCACAATCGTTCACTCGTCGGTAAACTCAGCGCGGATCGCGAAGGGCTGGGGCGGTACGAGTTCAGCCTGAAAACGCATCGGCGAGGTGAGGAAAGGAGGACGAGGAGGAAGGGGGACAGGTGGAGAAAGTCGTCCTGCACTCTCCCATGCGCCCCAAATTAGCCCTGGATGCAGCATTTTGCCCTGTCCACTTAGTCGTAGATGTGCGCCCCAAACTGGCCATGCGTGCAACACTTTCTGGTGGCCGGTTGGACTCCTAAGAACTTCTGGCCCTGGGTGCAGCATTTTCTAGTGGTCGCTTGGGTCCCGATCACGTCGCCGCCGTCATCGCCGCATGGGGCCCTGGACATTCCCAACGCTTCGCAGCCCCCCACTGGCCCTGACTACTGTCGAACCGCACAGGTTGCACAGAATAGGTTGCGCGCCCAATAAACTGCACCTCCCTATATTGCACCCCACGGGTCGCAAATAGCCACTGCTTGGAGCCCACGTGCTGGCATCCCTCAATCTTCTTTGGGGCGCGTGCCACTAAGAACGTCTTTGATGCAAAGCCTAACTGAGAGTGACCTTACATCGTCCGCCGTCCAAAGCTAAACGACTTTCTCGACGCCTGGCCCTCCCAGTTGGAGACGCGTCATCCGCATCGGCCTCGACTTCGGCTTACCCCCAGAAGGCTTGGGCCGCAGAAGGGATGTCATCGAGATTGTATCCGCCCTCTTGAACCACGCACATAGGCAGACCGGCCTCGCGCAATACAGCAGACATCTTCGCGAAGTCCGAGGGTATCAGCGCCAAGCGGTGTCCTTCTCGCGCATCGGGGTCGCCTTTCAGCGTGTCGTATCCAAGAGAAACCACTAAACAATCACATTCAGTAGGCTGTCGTGACAAAGCCTCCCGTAAAAGTGGCTCATACGTGGCCCAAGTGGCACCAGGAGGCACCTCCACCACCCACTCGAGCCCGCTCGGCAGAAACGGATAATCGTTAAGCACGTGAAGGCTGACAAAACCGATACTTCTACTCACACCTCGTTCATCTGCGGCCATGTCGAAGGAGCTGGCAACACTTGAATCCGCGATAAGAAGGCTTGCCGTGCCATCGCCAGCGTGGTAGTCCACATCGATCACGAAAGGCTGCATTCGCTTACGCTCTCGAAGCGTTCGAGCAATCAAGACGGCATAGTTGACGAAGCAGTACCCACCAAAGTGCTCTTTAGAGGCGTGATGTCCAGGGTGCGTCGTTAAAGCATAAACTTCAGTGCCATCTGCAACAAGCTGAGCTGCACGCTCACAAACTGCCACGTCGTCAGCAAGCACCTCGGCGAAATCGTCGAACAGAGGTGTTAGCGCATCTGTGGCATGCCACGCCAGCCGGCGCTCCATTGGATCTGTTTCTGCCGCGGGCTGGCGGGCGAAGAAATATGGAACGACGCCTTTGCCATCCGCCGTGTCAGATGAGACAAAGCCAGCATCACGAAAGTGAGGGTCCGCATGAAAATGAACTGCCATCCTGCACATCATGTCAAGCCTTGTGCCAGATATCACGCCAAGCTCTACGGCCGACGTAAGCACCGCATCATCACCCGGCGGCACCTTGACAATTGCACAGCCGGCAGACCGCAATCGCTCTAGGATGAGCCCGCGACGCTCTTCTGGTCTGTTCTCTCCTAGCCGCTTGCGCGGGATTGGATCACGGGAGCTGACGACGACAACAGAATTACGCATCATTGTGGCACAACTTCGCATGTGCACGCGCAGGGAGGCTACCAAATCTTCCAGTTCGATGATTGGGCCAAGAGTGTACGAGGGCGAACCAACAACATGCTTTAAGCATAGCGAAGACAGACCAAAAACAGACTTGCCATGGCGAGGATGCCTCCTTGCCACATCTGAGTCCAGGTCGGGCAGCCTTAAGACCTCACCACCGCAACTTTGTCGACCAACCGCCCGCTGCTGGGGCGTGTCCCTGGGGTCCGAAAAAGCACGAACACACAGCCAGCTCAAGTCCCCATGTGTGTGTGAGAGAGACCCTGTCAGTACAGCCTGTGCTGGCGCTGCTTCCCCCCAGACGCTCCCCCCGTCGCAGCTGGCAACTCTGAGCGGCCCGGCTTCCTCTCTTCCCGTCGCGCCGGGGCTCCCCCTCCCCCTTCCGTGCATTGCGGCTCTAATTAGCATACAGTCGAAACGCTGCCAAAAGAAACCCTGAATAAGGAACGGGGACCGCTTTTTCCATCTGCTACACTTCGACTTCACATCGAACACCGAAGGAAAACTTAGACAAGCTGTAAAACGATTAAGGAACACTGAGCCCCTCCCAAGCGAAAACGGTTCCTTTTTCAGGGGCCCGACTGTGCAGCGTGTCCTCTGTTGCCTATCCGCCGGAGCAGTCACCCTCTGCCCAGCCGCCGACGCAAAAATGTTTGGTTGTGGTTGTGGTTGTGGTTGTGGCTGTGGTTGTGGCTGTGGCTGTGGTTGTGGTTGTGGTTGTGGTTGTGGTTGTGGTTGTGGTTGTGGTTGTGGTTGTGATAGTGGTTGTGGTTGTGGTTGTGTTGTGGTTGTCGTTGTGGATGTCGTTGTGGTTGTGGTTGTGGTTGTGGTTGTTGTTGTGGTTGTGGTTGTGGTTGTGGTTGTGGTTGTGGTTGTGGTTGTGGTTGTGGTTGTGGTTGTGGTTGTGGTTGTGCTGTGTTGTGTTGTGTTGTGGTGTGTTGTGTTGTGTTGTGGTGTGTGTGTGTTTATGTGTGTGCGTGCGTGCGTGCGTGCGTGTGTGCATGTGCGCGTGAGAGAGAGAGAGAGAGAGAGATCCTGAGGCGAGGGTCGGCGGACACCCCCAGAAGGGACGGGCCACAGAGTTCCTCCTGCTCATTATCCCCCTTTTTCTTTTTGCTCCTCCTCCCCCTCCTCCTCCTCCTCCTCCTCCTCCTGCTCCTCCTCCTCCTCCTCCTCCTCCTCCTCCTCCTCCTCCTCCTCCTCCTCCTCCTCCTCCTCCTCCTATAGTGATCCGCACCAGCGACAGGCGATTCGGGGCGACCGAAAATCGAATTGCCAGCATGCAAGAGCAAGAGCGCGGAGAAAGACAGACGAGGCGGCCGCAGAGAGGGGGGGGCGGCGGGCACTCAGATGTGGAAGAGTTCCACCCCGAGCGCGCCGGCGCGGCCAGCAGCGGTGGCGGGGGCCGCGGCAGCAGCCGACCCGCAGCACGTAGAGCCACACACACACACACACAAACAATTCCCTTTGACGCGCAAATAGCTCCAGTCGGTTGTAAGCAAATTAATGCGGGATACGCGCTTACCAAATAAGCCCTTCGTCCAACTGCGGCAAATGATCGACTCGACACAAGCCTACTAGAGTAGAGCTGGCAAACAAAAAGTGGCCGAGGCAAGGGGGAAGCGAACAAGCGGACAGATCCGCGCTGTGAAGCAGCGCCGAAACATTGGCCCAACGGCAAGGCCGAGACGAGGCGCGGGGGAGAGAAAGGGAGCGGACCTCCCGGCCACGTCGAATTTTTTCTCAACCGCGAAAATACTTTGGCACACTCGTTCCCAGCCAGCTTGTAGATCGACTAAGGCAACCTCTACCCCGCGCGTCGCGCACGTTCCCCGTCTCGGAGGTGACCGCGCGGGGCTCTGCGCAGCAGGGCCGCGCGAGCTCGCAGGGCTGCGGAGGCGCCAGTACAGAACACGCCATCAACTCAACTGTAAAGGATGGTGCTCCACAACATCTGGAACGGTCAGATTGGCTGCTCTCCGCGGGTTTCGCCGCGGCTGCCCCGCCCCCGCGGCGCGGCCGCGCAGTCCGTGGAGCGCTCAAGGGGCCCTGCCGCGCACGTGGCGGCGGGGCGGACCCTGCAGAGCCACGCGCGGATCTGCGCGGCGGGGGCGCACGCGCCCCGGTAGCTCCAAAGCCAGGGACTGCCCGCGCTCTCCAGCGGCCTGCGCCGCACCTGACATACAGTCGGCCGCCCGCTCCGCCTGCCCCGCCTGCGCCTGGCCAGCGCTGCTGCGGAAATGCGCGCACACTGGCCAGCGCAGGCTTCGTTGGCGATCTCGTGCGACAGCTGCACCGGCTGCCCGTTGCTCAAAATCCAAGCGACACAGTTCCGGCACGAGTCGGAACCGCCGTGCATCGCGTTCCCGCTGCACTCGCACAGCGCGTCGCACTCGCCGGAGGGGCTCGGCGACGGCGCCCGGCAGCAGCACTGCCTGGTGCACTCCTCGCTCACCTGGCTCGTGGCCGCCGCCGCACTCTCGCCGCCGCGCTCGCCTAGCCAGCCGATGCGACCGCAGCGTGAATACGAGCCACCTTTGTAGTTGCAAAGCACGTCGCAGCCTCCACCCGAAGTAGGCGGCGTCGTGGGCGTCAGCATGGTTGCCGAAGTCGGAAAGGGCGTAGACGCGGCGGAAGGTGCCGCTGCGGGCGCTGGCGCGGTGCCCGAAGTCGGCGATGGCGTAGATGAGGCCGGAAGCGCGCACGCGCACTGGCAGGCGCAAGCCTCGTTGACAATCTCGTGCGACAGCTGCGCCGGCTGCCCTTTGTTCAGGATCCAATCGAGGCGATTCCAGCACGAGTCGGAACCACCGTGCATCATGTTCCCGCTGCACTTGCACTGCGCGTCGCACTCGCCCGCCCCGCGGGGCTCGGCGAAGTCGGCGCTGGCGTGGCGTAGACGTCGCGGAAGGTGGTGCCGCGGGCGCTGGCGCGATGGCCGAAATTGGCGCCAGAATAGAAACGGCGGAGGGCCCTGGCGCCTGGCAGGAGCACTACCCGCTGCACTCCTCGCTCACCTGGCTCGTGGCCGCCGCCGCACTCTCGCCGCCGCGCTCGCCTAGCCAGCCGATGCGACCGCAGCGTGAATACGAGCCACCTTTGTAGTTGCAAAGCACGTCGCAGCCTCCACCCGAAGTAGGCGGCGTCGTGGGCGTCAGCATGGTTGCCGAAGTCGGAAAGGGCGTAGACGCGGCGGAAGGTGCCGCTGCGGGCGCTGGCGCGGTGCCCGAAGTCGGCGATGGCGTAGATGAGGCCGGAAGCGCGCGCGCGCACTGGCAGGCGCAAGCCTCGTTGACAATCTCGTGCGACAGCTGCGCCGGCTGCCCGTTGTTCAGGATCCAATCGAGGCGATTCCAGCACGAGTCGGAACCACCGTGCATCATGTTCCCGCTGCACTTGCACTGCGCGTCGCACTCGCCCGCCCCGCGGGGCTCGGCGAAGTCGGCGCTGGCGCGGCGTAGACGTCGCGGAAGGTGATGCCGCGGGCGCTGGCGCGATGGCCGAAATCGGCGCCAGAATAGAAACGGCGGAGGGCCCTGGCGCCTGGCAGGAGCACTACCCGCTGCACTCCTCGCTCACCTGGCTCGTGGCCGCCGCCGCACTCTCGCCGCCGCGCTCGCCTTGCCAGCCGATGCGACCGCAGCGTGAATACGAGCCACCTTTGTAGTTGCAAAGCACGTCGCAGCCTCCACCCGAAGTAGGCGGCGTCGTGGGCGTCAGCATGGTTGCCGAAGTCGGAAAGGGCGTAGACGCGGCGGAAGGTGCCGCTGCGGGCGCTGGCGCGGTGCCCGAAGTCGGCGATGGCGTAGATGAGGCCGGAAGCGCGCACGCGCACTGGCAGGCGCAAGCCTCGTTGACAATCTCGTGCGACAGCTGCGCCGGCTGCCCGTTGTTCAGGATCCAATCGAGGCGATTCGAGCACGAGTCGGAACCACCGTGCATCATGTTCCCGCTGCACTTGCACTGCGCGTCGCACTCGCCCGCCCCGCGGGGCTCGGCGAAGTCGGCGCTGGCGCGGCGTAGACGTCGCGGAAGGCGATGCCGCGGGCGCTGGCGCGATGGCCGAAATCGGCGCCAGAATAGAAACGGCGGAGGGCCCTGGCGCCTGGCAGGAGCACTACCCGCTGCACTCCTCGCTCACCTGGCTCGTGGCCGCCGCCGCACTCTCGCCGATGCGACCGCGGCGCGAATGCGATCCACCATTGTAATTGCAAGCGACGCGCTGCGCCGGAACGCACAGGCGCCGGCGCCGTCGGCGGGCCCGCCCCAGGGCGGCAGCCTCAGCCTGCCCAGCCAACAGACTGAATTTCTGCCCGCAGTCTCCCAAGGCTGCCCCCGTCTCGGGCCCTGGCCGCCGGCATGGAAGCGCCGGTCCGAGTCCGCGGCTGCTACGAAGGAGATTTGGCCCTGGTCGGCGACCGGGGCAAGGGTCACGGCCTCGGCGGGGCGCTCAAGCTTTGCGACGCATGGGGGTCTGAGAACTCGATGATGATGTCGCTGGGCTGGCCAGCGCGGCTAGCCCCACCAACCACAGGGGCCGCATAGCGGCCCTGATTGCCCCACGCGCGGCTGGGGTCGGGGAAGGGAGGGCCTCGCCAGAGGCTGCCAACGTTCGCGCCGAATGCGGGCTCAGAGTCGTTACGACTGACACCACCATAGCCGGGGTCGCGAATGGTGATGCGCCCGAAACCTCCACCCCACTTGCTGAGGGGGCCCCTGCATCCAGGCACGAGCGCGAGGCCGTCCAGGCGCGGGCTTACAATCGCCCCATAGCCGCCCAGAGATTCGTCGGCCGCAACCCACAGGATCCGGACTGGAGCGCCGTCGCTGCTGCCGAAACTGATCGCCTGCGCACCGCCGCCCCCGACCCAGCCGCACACGTGCGTCGCGGAGACCAGGCCCGCCAGGTTGTTCTGCACGTTGCAGGTCATGCCCCGGCGGGGGCCGCCCAGGTCGGGGCTGCCGAAGCAGCGCCGAAGGGAGTGAAGCTGCGCCCGCCCAGCCAGGGCCACGCCTTCCACGGTGGAGGCGAACGCCCCCCCAGGGGGCCGAGCGGCGGCATCCGCGAAGACGGAGTCGCGGATGTGCACGGCGGTCGGGTCGGCGAAATTCTTACTTCTTCGACCGCTCCCAGCGCGCGCCTGCGTTGCAGCCGACCGCTTTGAAGCGCAGGTGCACGCTGTCGCCGACCGCGCACTGGCCCGCGAAGTCGTCGCGGCAGTCACGGCAGTCCTCGACCACGGACGCTGGGACCACCCCGTTGACCCCGCCATCGGGCGCGAGTTCCTGCCAGCACTTCCGCGCGTCGCTGACGTAGCCGTTCTCGTCGCGGGGGCCCACGTTCTGCGGGGATTGGTCTTCCGGGTAGACGCCGAAGTAGGATTTGTCGCGATTGACACTCCCGCGCGTGATCCCGCATGGAAGGCGCCTCGGGCAGACCTTCCCCTGCGCTCCCCCCTCGCCAAGGTGGTGGAGGACGCCGGGTGTGAAGAGACCCTGGTGATGACCAGCAATGTGGTTGCCCATGACGTCATCAGTCACACCAACCATGCACACGCCCGCGCCCTCGCCTGCGCTCGCGCCCTTTACGATGCAAGAAAGACCGCTGGGGCCCCCGCTGCGCTTCGAATCGTCCCCGTCAGGGCATATGATTGCATCGTGTCTGATCGCATTGTTCATCTCGATCCCGTCCTCCGTGTAGATCCCGACCCCTCTGTTCATCCAGAGGACATTCGAGTCGACAGTGGTCCGGTGGGTCCCGTGAATGGTGATACCCGACTGGAAGGACTCGACAATGGCGCTGCCCTGCAAAATGCACTCTGGGCACTGCCCTGGCAGGTGGAAACGCAGACAGCGTTTTGGCCGCAGCACTCCACCCTCGCCCGACGCACCGCGCCCGCACTGCCAGGCCCCATCATCACGCGCAGTCTCTGGCGCGTGGCGAGGAAATCCTGATGGTCCCCAGTGATGAGCACGGAGCGCGCCACGTTCACCACCGCGGCGGCGAGCTCGAACGGCTGCCCCTCGACGTCCTTCACGCCGCCCATCCGCGCGGCCCCGAGCGGTGGCGACACGCGGAACCCCGAGGGCAGCAGCTCCACGACGGTGCGCTCGATGGAGTCGCTCTGGCGGGCCCGCGCGGTGGCCGCGCCGACGCGGTCCCCGACGCGCCAGCCCATGTCTCCCAGGTCGTGCTTCAGGGCCAGTTGCTAGGAGCCCTGGGCGGCACCGCTGGAGAGCAGCGACATCGTGCGCGCCAGAGGGCGGCCGTGTATCACGATGCAGGAGCTGCCCTGGCCGCCGACGAAGCGGCTGCCCATGGGTCCGGAGAGCGAACCGCACTGCTTGATGTAGATGGTGGCCCTGAATCCCATCGGCGCGTCCGTGGTGCCCATCTCGAGCAGGCCTCCGTCCTTCACCATGACGTGGCAGGCGCGCAGTTCCAGCCCGTCCTACTGATCATGTTTGCTGATGCCATACCCCACCCTGGTACGGTGTAGCCCCATAAGGCAAACCACAGGGCATGCGCAATTGCGCGCTGGCCAAAACACAAAGTCGGCGACGTGGTTTCTGACAGTGGCATCGCACGACGGCCAACAGCACGCGCCCTCACAAGCGCCCGCCTTGCCGAAGGCTTGCCGTATCCCATCTAGTTCCCATCGAATGGTGAGTGACTCGACGTCGCACCCACGCGGCGCCGGCGGGCGCCTCGCACCGCGACCTGGGGGCGCACGCCACCGACGCCCAGAGGCTTCGGTGCGCGAGCTGCGCCCCGAGCTGGCCCAGCTGCACGCCGGGCGGGCCGCCAGGCACGTGAAGCGTCCTGGCTCGCTTATAGGCCCACCAAAACATGTTCTAAAAACATGTGGTGGTGTGTACGAAATGTTATTCGAACATTTCTGGCTGGGCCTGTCTTGTTTTCACACATCGGGTGCATGTTCAACGAACATTGCTTTGGCACTGGGAACATTTGCGCGATCTAATAAGATTCCGTGGTAAGCCTATAGAGATGCCGGGACGGTCGGTCCCTGCTTAACCCACGTCCGCCCCGCGCCGGCGCTGAGGTTCGCCAGCCTGGCTTGCGGCGCCGAGGGCTCCCACGGCAGAGGCGGCGGCAGTGAGGGCCGCCGCGAGGGCGAGCAGGGGCTCTCGAGGGGTGTGGTTCGGCTCGGACCGCTCGCTCTTGGCACGGGGCGGGCACGGCGCCCCTGGGGCAAAGCCCGGCGCCAAAACCAGACACGGCTTGAGCCGAAATGGCCACGTCGCAGTGGCGGAGCTGAACGGAGCGGCGGCCGATCCATCCATCCTGCAGGACGGCTCCACAGTGCGCGGCGCGCACGGCGGGGCAAGAAAGGCATCCTTCGTCGAAGCGGTGGCACAGTGAAACTTCTTGTACCGTGGCGGTAGCGACGACGGAGACAGCCAACGACGAAGAAAAGGGGTGGCGAAGAAACGAGAGGACGACGACGAACGGGATCTATACCGCAACCCAGACGATTACTAAGCTTGGCAGTGCTGGGCCCCGGCAAACAGAACGGCGTCGGGTGCCAAGCACGGTGGAACGCTGGCCGCACGGCATGGAAGAACCGACGGCGACGACAGCGAGACGACAGCAACGACGAACCGAGAGGACGGGTGAAGAGGAAGGGATCTATACTGAAGCAATTGCGATCGTTCGACTCGGCGCTCGCCTGTCCATGGCGGGTGAAAGCGGCATCAAAAAACTCTGGACGCACGACGCGCCAGAAACGAAGATAACCACAACGACGACAACGACCACGAAGAGGACGGTAAAGGGAAGGGGGAGGACGAAATGAGAGGACGGAGGAGGAAGGAGAAACTGAACAAATAGCGATGAACGGTTTTTGCATACACATCCTCTGCAGCGCCTGGGCACAATTGACTGGTTGCGGCAGTGCCTGGGGCGACCCACACCAAACCCGCAAGGTCGCGATCACGATGCACCGTAACCAACGAATATACAGATCGGAGCTCCCAGGGCCAAGATATCACGCAGCCAACACAATGGTTTCGCGCCCCCGCGGCCACACTTCCTCTCCAAAAAACTACAAGGCCTCGTGCCACCACACGAACCGCTGAAGAAGGAACGAAAGGGCTTTCCTGGCCACGGCGAACATCGGCCACGAACAGGTTCCTCCGACCTGGATCTAAGGAGCGGCACAACAATCAGGGCCCATCCTCGGCCAAAAGCTGCCCTTGTGCCAACGTCTTGGCTGCCAGGGCCCATAACGTCGAGGCCACGATCCCTGGACGTCCGCCTTTGAGACGAATCTAGCGGCGCATGGCCACGGGACGGCAAGCCACGGGCAAGGACTGACGGGCCGTGGTATTGGGACAGGAAACGCCACCCTGTCAGGAGTTGACGGAGCACCGCATCCCTACCATGGTAGGGGCCTCCTGGATGGGGTCCGAGTAGATGGGGTCGGAGGATCGCGCCAGATCGCCGATACATCACCGATGGATCGGCGATGCACCAGCGACGCATCGTCGATGTTGCATCGGCGACGTCGACGTGAAGCAAATCGGGCTCCACATCGAGCCGCATCGGCGATGCATCGGCGATGCGGCGCGATCCTCCGACCCCACCTGCTCCGACCGGCCTAGACATGGGGCAATCAAAAGATACCCGTACTGCTGCTCCGCAGACCTCTGCCAGGGTGTGTTCTGACCAGAATTAGGTCGGGCATGTCCTCCTACAGGCGGATTGTGGACGAACGATACAAAATTGCCAACAACAACAACAACAACAACAACAACAACAACAACAACAATTACTAGCACGTGGGGACAC